CTGCTCTCAGAAGTAAAAAGGCAAACACATGGAAAGGTGAACACGTATCTGCAGAAGCTGGGGCTCAGTCATTCCTTGTAAAAAGCAAAACGAGCAAGCCGCTCCTCTTCTTTCTCTTTTGCAGCTTCCAAAGACTTGGTTTTGGTTTTAGAAATGTGGTTTATCACACCCTGAGCCATAAATACGGAGATCCTGTATTGAGTTACAAGCTCACTGGGGTAAACTCAGTGCAAAGGCAGGCGAAGTCCCTGGCTCTGCTCCCTTAATGACCTTGTCACTCACCTGCCACCCTCCTCTGACAGCAATAAGTAATTCTGCTAATTCTGCTGCCTGGGATCTATTGAAGGAGGACAGGCAGCCTTGCTAAGCTTTTCTTTAAGGAAGTGCTATCAATGGGGACCAGTTGTTTCAGATGCTAATGGTACTGAATAGCACGGTTCTGCATGTTCAAAGCCAGCTGTAATCCTTGTTTATTTATGTTGCATCAGGGATCAGAGGCCCATTCTCCCAAACACTGTATGTTGACAGAGCTTGTAGTCCAAATATAATAGCAACCTAATTGTGTTTGTCTGTGGCTTTTGCCATGATGTGAGTGGTTACTAATAGTCACCCTGGTGAGTCGTACCTTTGGTTTCAAAGATCTGCCAGGTACAGCTGCTCATTAACGCAGGACAGAGCGTCACAGCCTGGCCCCGGCACAAGCATTTCCTTCCTAACCTTACCCTCTGGTCACTGGATGCGGCTAAGTTACCTCTGCATGCCACAGGCCTGATTTCTACATCTAAATAAACAAACTCTCACTGAAATAGGGATGGCAAAATTAAGAATCAGGATCAGGCCCTATGTGGAAATGATGGTAAATTTAGATCCAGAAGATCTTGTCAGACTGAGCTATTAAATGGCAGCACAGGCAGCAGTATCCTAAGACATGTCTCTGCCAAGAGAGATCACTAAGGAAGCCATTCAGACCTGAAGGCAAAGCGATCTCTAAGGAATAATAAGGGCACTATCCCCACAGGTTTAAAAATTGGGTTCTGCTCTTACAGCCTGTGCAATGCCGTGTGCTACCTGTGTGTGAGGATGGGCTCTCGGGCTGCCAGAGGAATGCAGGGGACAGCCAAACATTGAAGCCTCCCCCAAAAACCTGAAGCTAGGGTGAACAGTAAACCCAGCATTTAACTTATAAATCTGATTCCATTACTTTAAACCTACAGTAAGCAGGCTTAGAGCAAGCAAATAGATTCAAGCTGCATTTAGAAGGACCGCTTTGGCTGGATCTTACTTATCCAAACTTATTTAACCATTCCTAGCAACAGATTGGTTTTTTTCACACCTTCGTTACAGAAGCTTATAGCTTTTAATCCATTAGTCTAGTGGGCTTTCATAAGGTTGTAGTAGTTCACCACTGGCCACAGATGGGCTTACCTTAGCCCTGCCGTGTCAGCTGAGCCAGGGTAGGTCCGGGCGGCTGCAGCAGCACCAGGCAATGCCACCGAGCTCAGCTGCAGTGCAAGAAGGTTAAACTGAATCAGGCTGCATTGCATTAGCCTCCAGCTGAGGGCATGCGCTCGGCCTGTTACCGCAGCTCAGCTGGCTCGCTGTGGCTTGTTACAGAAATAACTTGAACCAGTGCCTAAGCTTTGTGGCTCTGCAGCTTCTAACAAAAGCATCTCCAGGTGGAAGGGGAGGGTGGTGGCTCTGCTCTGCTCTGCTTGGGGCCATCGCACAGGGAGCTGTATGGAGCAGGCACGCGTCGTACCTCCTGCCAAACTCAGGCACACCACGCAGGTCAGTCTGAGGTAGGGGAGACAGGCGGAGGGAAGCAAGAATGGCTTGAAGCCCAACTGGAACCATCTCAGCTAGGGGTCAGGACAGCCAAGGCTGTCCTCGGCTATCAGGACCAACCCAAAAGCTCCCGTAGCCCCAGGATGTGACCCTCACACCTTCATTGGGATTGTGCCAGTTAGATGAGCAGAACTGAAAGCTTCTTCTATTTTGGGCCCCGCGATGTTTCTTCCTGCAGGATGAGTCAGTGGTGGGAGATGCAGCCAGCACTGTTGTTTCTGCACTCTGTGGGACTCCTGTCAAAATATTTAGATTAGTGAGGATCACCAACATGCAGGAGAGGTTCTCCCTGTCTCTGAGAGTGGGTGGGACCCGGTTAACCCGTACAAAGAATAAGAGGGTGAAATAGGAGTGATCCCCAAACTCAAAATCTTTCTTTTCCCTCCCTGTGCCTCAACAAGGTGTGAAACAAAAGAAGGAGGGAGGGGAAGATGTCCAGAAATGGCCTTTATACCTAGATCCATTGGGGATTTAGTGAGGCACCTAAATTAGCTAGCTCCTCTGTGCCAGAGTGTGGAGTCGCATGTACAGTGGTCTCCTGTAGACTCCTCAAAGCCTGACTGCCCACGAAGAGACTCCAACACCCAGCTCAGAAGCACGGTGAGGCTGGACCCACTGCCTGCTCTGCCTTCCATGCTGTCAGGATGCTGGCGGTGGGGCTGGGGAGGATAAAGAGGAGGGATCTGTGCCCCACACTCCACTGGCACAGGTTGCCCTTGGAGAGGAGCACTTTCATCTCCATTCTTGCCTCCTCCAAAGAGTCATTGTGCACCACCTCCATTAGGAGCTTACAATCAGATCCTGCCCTCTCCATTAACTGCTTAGTTTAGGTCTCTGAGTCACCATCAGGGCCAGGTCCCTACATTTAGGCATTGCAGTGCTGGACGCTGCAGACAAGCCCTCTGACTCCAGCCTGTGGATTTCACACATCTGCAGCGCACCAGTTACTGAGTGAGTACGTAGGCTGACGGACTATGGAAGTGCTGCCCAGCACACTAGGAGTTGAGCAAGCCAAGCAGCAGCAGAAGGTGCTAGGAAAACGAAGCTGTGTCATGGTTCTTGGCCAGGCGCGGGCTGGAGCGCAGCCAAGGACAGGCACTGGAATGGCTGGGGCATGGGGCAGGCAGCAGCTCTGTATGGGAGCTATCAGTGGTTGATGCCTGGGCTTGGTTCCTTGGGACAGTGAGGGTCATAGAGCTGAGGCACACCAGCTCTCACTGGAGAAGGTAACCAACAGCAGCCATGAGAGATCCGGCTGAAAATAAAAAAGAAAACCCAACAAAATTGGGTCGCATTATTTACAGCAACAGAAGGTTTTATTTTGGCAGTTTTCATGGCTGTAAAATACATCCTTCATTGTTAAAAGTCATAATGTCAATCTGAAATCTGCTGGGCTTCCCTTTACCCTGAACACTTGCCACTTCTTCTGGGGTGTGCTTGGAGTCTGAGGTGGCTGTTGATGGGGGAGCTATCACCATTTCTGAAGTGAAAAGCTTAAATCCAAGATTTTATATTACTTATGGCTTGATTCAAGTTCTTGCAATTTCTTCAAACTGTATTAGTTTCTTTTTATTTTTAAATTATGGTTAAAGAAACAAACATGAGTGTCTTGACATGCATAGATATGGCTCTGTCTCCATTTGGGGAGCTATCATTTGCTCCAGGTCAGGACCATCTCCTGGCCATGCGCACAGCAGTGAGGACTGCTAGAGCCAGGCAATCTCCTGATGCAAGGCTCGCGGCGTGCTGGGCCCCGCTGCCACCGATGCGGGTGCAAGTCCCCAGGCACTCGGTGAGCCGGGGGCAGAGCCCCAGCCTGCTGGAGAGAGCAGCCATGCGGGGAAGGGGAGCTGAAGGCTTTGCTGTCAGAGGGGCCCAGCGTGGCAGGAGGCAGGTCCTGAGCAGCAGGAAGCTGGGTGGCTCTGCCAGGCAGCTTTGTTGGCAACCATGCTGGTGCACTCAGCCAGCCCCTCGCCTCTCCGTACCTGGGGAACGTGCCTCCACAGTACCTTTCTGCTGGCTCCCTGTCCTCCCCTGCCCTGCCCACAGGCAGCTTGTACCTGTTGCTCCTCATACCAGCGTTCTCCATTATTTTGCACAGTTCTCACTCACTGATGTGCTTATAAGAAGCAAACCTATTACCCCTTGGCTGTCATCTTTTTAGAAGAGGTAAGCTTTTCCATCTCCTCCCATGAACTAAACTCTTGAACACCAGTAGCCAGAGTGCTCTCTGGCATCCAGATAAGATCTTGCTAGAGCACAGAACCATACATGGCATTAGTACTTCCCTATCACTGCTGGAAATACTGCAGTATTTTGGATTGTCTTTGCCTTTTTTGAGTCCACGCTGCAGTGATGGTTCACAGTCATTCTGTGATTGCTGAGTGTGCCCTGGTGTTTCCCCCTTCTCTCATTTCCAGCTCTCAACCACCAGTTTTCAGAAGAGAGTCTGACCATAAGTCTTAAAGCTCATGACCTTGAACTTTGTTCTGTGAAAAATGAAAAATCAGAAGTGAAACTGAGCAGTGTCGTGTTGCTCTTCTAGCTGAGAGAACAAAGAAAGTCACTTCAAAGAATAGCTTTGCATGTCGTTTGAGAGATCTCCAGATAAAGTGGAAAAAATTACTCCACGAAGTCTCTTTATACTTCATGGTGGAGAACCTGCCCTTGCAGAAAAACAGCAAACAGGCAAACGTCTTCCCTTAATTTTCTGCAATTAGAGAAAGAAATAAAACAAACAAAAAAAACCCACCAACAAAAAGAGATGTCCATTGGCATTCTCCTAAATAAACTCATTTCAAAGATGTATCTCTCTAATCTTATGGGGATTTCCTTTACCTATTTTTCACTTGAGCTGTGGTAACCAGAATAAGTAGATAAAAACCTGCCTTGCTTGCAGCAGCTCCCTTCCCTTTTTTAAACACCAGCTAAATCAGTTACTTCTATGCGATAGAAAGGAGTTAGTTCATTAAGTTTACATGCAGATTTTAGCTGATAATGTTCTCTCCCTGGTGAAAGATTTCTGAAGGGTTTTCTGGTCAGTCTAATCAAGAGGCAGAGCTGAACAGAAGCACAAGATAGTTGAGTTTCTTTCATTTTCCAGATTTGGATGATCACAATTTCCTTTTACAGGAAAGCAAAAGCAAAATTAAAAAATGGCTACAACAGCAGCAAATACTCAAAGACAAACGATAGGCTGTGAGGAATACAGTCTCTACAGTAGCTTGAGTGAAGACGAGCTTATAAAGATGGCCATCCAGCAGAGCTTGGAAGAGGACCCCGCGGGTCAGCCAGCTGCCCAGAGCCACCAGAAGTCGATGGTGGCGACTCCCGGCGAGGTGGCCACCCCGAGCCGCGCCAGCAGCCACAACCCGCCCTACCGCATCTACCCGTGGCAAAGGTGAGCGAGCGCCTGCCTGAGCCGCGCCGTCCCAACAAACACCCTGCCCGGGAAGCACAAACAGCTTCCCCTGTCTGAACACGTGCTTTCTAATTAGCTTTGCCAAGCGGCTGCTCTGCGAGTCTGTCATTAGTCTGAAAGCCAGAGTCTGCTATAAATCCGATGAGGTCAATAATTCACGCCCTCATGGTGAAATGAGAATTTGCTTGACGTTGTCTGTTTTAAGCAACAAATAAAATAAGAAAAGGGGCACTGCTACAAGCTTTCCTGAACGACAGAAGCCCTGCCGAAGCCAGCAGCTCCTTTCCCCCACGAGGGCACACCGTACACCGAGCTTAGGTTTTGCCAGAGAGGGAGCACAGCATTTGTTATAGGAAAACATAGTAGAAAAGCCAAAAATAAAGGAGTGTAAGCTGGCTACCTTTTAGATACTGGAGTCTTTAAAGGATGTAGTTATTTCAGATCAGAGTCCAACCTCAAGGACACCGCTCTCAGCCAAGAGCAGCTCCCGACACCAAAGCGTGGCGGCATCTCCCCCCTGGCGATGCCGGGCTGTGGGTTACAGACACCTATGGACAGATTCAAACCCAGACATTGTTCTCCTTTCATTTTTTAAAAGGCAGATTTCTCAAGGGGGGAGGGAAGAGGCTACAAAGTCACCCCAAAACCAAGGAAAAATATCCTTTTACACTAATCTTTTTTTAATAATCTGGGAGTAACTGAAGTTTTGGTCCTCCTTCTTTCTCATCATTCCACTGTCCTCTGATGCCTCACTCATTACCACCTGTGATCGTTTGCTTTCCAAGGCTCGGAAACTGGGGACAATTTAATTAGCAGTAAGCATGTTTCATAGCTGCGGAATCAGGATGCTGTACAGCAGGCAGACCTTCTCCCATCAAAGGTCGTGGCTTCTCAGTGGCGTTACCGTGCACTTGCACTGTCAGCTCTGCCACAGGAACCGATGTGGGGGAGAATAAGGGCTTCCCTGGCCATTTGGTCCTGTCCTCCTCAGGGGTCCTTTGACACTTGTTATTTTGGCAAAAGGCAGCATCTGCAGTTCTGTGAATTAACCTGTCGTGCCTTTGCCTCAGCCTAGCAGCTTTTGACCTCCCACTGGAGGGAAAACCTTTGCAGCTTGTAGCTCCAGATCTGTAGCATTGCCAAACTCTTCTGCCACCTGGGACAGCCGAGCTGGAAACAGAGCCAGCACCCAGGGGCCCTGAGTCCTCCTCTGCCCCCGCCTCCGATGTGCTTGCGTGGCACTGTGGAGGTGATGAATGTCACCTCGCCTCATGCCTGCTTCCTGTGCGGTGGTGGTAGGGTTAACCTCACTCTTGTCTTATATGGTCATTTGAATCCCCTGACGCTTCCTCAGAGGGCCAAAAATAATCTCGAGCAGAGCAAGCAGCTGAATCCAGCGCAGAGCAAGCCGTGGCCATCTGCTTTTATTCAAAGCCCTGACCAGCAGGCTTTCTCGCTCCGTCTCTGTGGATGTGTGTCTCTGTTTCTGCCTCAACATGACCTGTTTCTCCTATTCGGAGTATTTCTCCTTATTTCATTCATGTCATCGCCACTCCAGATTGACGGCCCAGCAGAGAGGCCGTGCTCAGCCATCCAGCTCGGGGGCAGCCTGGGGGGTCAGGCGAAGGTACGACGGCAGCCTGTTCAGCACATCCCAGCCCGTGTAAGTGCCTCCCTCTCCCGCTTTCCCCCGCGGTCAAAACAAGCCTTGCTACCCACTCTCCCCCTGAGAGCGCTCTTCTAGGCAGTTCATCTGGAGGAGTTTATGAACTGCTTAGAGGGGTCTTGCTGATACCTGCACTGCACCCTTGCTGCCT